CCCGGCTCTGCGCCTGCCACCTCCCCGCCGAGGTGCACTGCACCTTCCGCTACCTCACCGCCGTCCCGCCGCGCATCCCCCGCCACGCCGAGCGCATCAACCTGGGGTACGTCTGGCATCGGGGTTCGGAACATTCCCGAGCGCTGCCCTTCAGTGCTGCACAGAGCAAAAGCGAAGGGTTTCCCTGTTTGGGGCTAAATAAATAAATAAAGACCCCCCCAAAGCAATAACTCAAGTGCTTAATGTTGTGCAGCGTTCGGAAGGGGCTGCAATCACAGCACGCAAAACCAAAGGCCACCAACACCAAGTGGAAATTTTGGGGAGGTGTTGCTGGTCTCGTAAGAACTTCCAGAAATTTTGAACTTAAATGAATTCTTCTGTATTACCCAAATATTTTGCACCCGTAACATGGAACTCCGGAGGAGTTTGAAATAGAATTCTTTCGGGGGAAAATTGGTATGTGTAATAAAATCTTCAGAGTTCTCCCTGGGCAGCAAAGGAGGGTCTCTGCTGCCCACGGAGCTCTCTGGGACACCACCGTGCTGAGCAACCCTCAGCTGAGAGAGGCATCAGCTCGCCAACCTCTGCCACTGCAGGAGCTCCTCACTCCTCTGTACCCAAACCCCAACCTGGCATTCTGCTCTGCACATCTGTGCAGTTATTGTCCCTGTCCCCAGTGTTCAGAATGCTGCCCTGGAAAATGTGCCAGTTTTTGTGCTAAAATGAAGGAATGACTTAAAATGTCATCTCAGCAGCCACAAGTGCTGTCTACCTGCATGCATTTCCAAAGAGCTGTTCTTCTGTTGTGTTTTTTGTTTGTCTATTTGAGAACTTGTTTAGTTTAGCTGCCTGCCTAAGCCCAGGCGTGGGATGAAATGTTTGTTACAGCTACAACAGCTTGCTCAAACTGACGGAAACAGATTTTTCTGGCCTGGAGAAACTGGAGCTACTGATGCTGCACAGCAATGAGATAAATACAATCCCCGAGAAGGCATTCAGGGATTTATGTTCATTACAGGTAAGAACTCAATGACATAAGCTTAATTAAGAGACGACCTAATCTTAATTTTTGCTCAGACTTTTAAAGAGTTGGCGGTGATAGAACAGCGGTCTGTAGCATTTGGTCTCCTGCCTCTTATTAAACATCTTTCCTCCCCGGGCAGGCACTCGGGTCCAGGTCATTGAGCGTGAGGAACATACTGGTAGAAAACTGTCAGCTGCAGCTGAAACTCTCACACGAGAGAGAAAGATTGCAGAGCTCCAAGTGCTGCATCCGTTAATTTGGTAGTTGAAGGGTGGTTTTGGCTTTTTTTTTGAGGTATTGTTTTCCATCCAGATTTCCCTTTCCCTTCAGGCCAGCATAGTCCTGTCCTTTTCTATTCTTCCTGAAAAAAACAAGAGGCTCTGACTGAACAGAAACTGAGCATCTTACATATAAACTTTTTAATGCTTTAAAAACCCCATGGTTCCTTGGGTTTGTAATTTAATACGTACTGGTATACTTTTAAAATGCAGTATTGGATGCTTGTTATTTAACTATTAGCTATTTATAAACTATTGCCAATATTTACAAATATCACTAGATGTACAGTGTCACAGAGGGGCCGTGGAGCTATGGCAGTGTCTCACTGCTCCGTGTAGGCGTTGGTGGATAGAGAAGTACTTACAGGATTGTTTAGGAACAACCATTCCCCACCTGGCACCTGCGAGGTGAGGTTTGGCAAGTGCACATCTGGCACGGCACAAATCCTGAAACTGGCACGGCTTAGCAGTTCTGTTGGGTAAACATCAAACCAAACAGATTTTGCTTGCATTTCCATTGTCGTAACATGGGCTGGAACAAAAAAATCACGGCCACAGCTTACGGTCAAATTCTGCTTACCCTTTTCATACGCGTGGGTTAATTGGGATTTTTTTTTTTTTGAATGAGCAATCAGTACCGCTTTATTTTATTCTTTAATCACTGCGTTTTGCAAATGTGACTGCAGAAGTGTCACCCTGATGGACTGCTGGCACAAGAAAGCATCCCTGTAGTCCGGCAACTAACATTGCATTTAAAAATAATTCCTCCTGCCAAGTTTCTTCCAATCACTTGCATCTCTGGTCTGGTGAAGTACTTTCACTTCACAGAGTAACCATCAACCAAAATCTCGTAGGAGGCTTTTAACAATAAAACAGGGCTTAATATTGTACACTTGTTACTTCTTCATCAACAGGTTTTAAAAATGAGTTACAACAAGGTCAGAGAACTTCAGCGGGATGTTTTTTATGGTCTAAAGAGCTTGGTACGGTTGCACATGGACCACAATAAAATCGAATTTGTAAATCCCGACGTTTTCTACGGACTCACGTCACTGAGGCTGGTCCACTTGGAAGGAAATTTACTTAAGCAGCTTCATCCAGATACTTTTGTCACCCTGCGCTATAGCCAGATATTTAAAATCTCCTTCCTGAAGCACATCTATCTGTCTGACAACATGCTGACCTCACTGCCACAAGAAATGTTTTCCTACGTGCCTGAGCTAGAGAGCATTTACCTTCACGGAAACCCGTGGTCCTGTGACTGCAGGCTGCAGCGGTTTGCAGAATGGGCAGAAGCGAGGCCAGGTGAGCCGACGGCTTTGTGTGCTTTTTAATCGCGTTACAGCAGCTTACTCTTCCTGAGAAAGGTAATTGTCCTTTGTTTAGTCTCCCAGAAATGGGCGGAAGACGAGATTTTTGTAAGTGCCTGTAGTCTGGATAAACAGGTGAACACCATCCCCTTTCCCAGACGGAATGAACCTGCCGGTGTCACCCCATTCCCAGGTGGGATCACCTTTCCCCAGTGGGATGTCTTCCTTGGCCAGTCCACAGCTGCTGTGCGCTTGGAGAATCCAGGGAGTAAGGAAGCTGATTTCTATGGAACTGGCAAGAGCAAAGGCCACATCGTACTTTGTGCTTTGAGAAAGAAATAAGGAGGCAGACCTGAGGGCTTTCTCTGTTGCTGCCCTGATGAGAGGCTGTGACCCCAAACTACTGGGGCCCATGTCACTATGGACAAAGCTGTGGCTGTGTCTTCTTTAATACTAAAAATTGTATCGCAAAAGCTAATTGCATTTTTCTTCCCCTCAGATGTCATGAAGTGCAAGAAAGACAGAAGTTCTGGTGCTCAGCAATGCCCAGTTTGTGCCAGTCCCAAAAGTCGTAAAGGGAAAAGCTTAGTGGATATTCCGTCTTCATCTTTAACCTGCGTGAAGCCAGCCATACACGACTCCCTGAAATTTAGAAACCTCACGGTGCCGGATGATGGGGATTCCAGCTCCGTGTCTCCCAAGGACTTCGTGGCTCCCATAGGATCCGTGGTTTTGAACATGACTGACCAAGCGGGGAGTCGCGGTCACTTGGTTTGCAACGTCCAAAAACCTCAAGAAACGTCTCCCATCTCGTTGGACAAAGACGGCAACAGCACGGTACTCAAAACGTCATTCTCAGCATTTCTTGTGTGCGGTGTTGATTACGAACATATTCAGCAGCTCTGGAGCATACTGGCACTGTACAGTAACTCTCCCCTAAAGCTGGAAAGGAATGCCCTAGCAACGAACGCACCTTTTATTAGTTACAAATATAAACAAATCTACTCTGAAAAAGACGAACTTTTCACCAACGTAGAGACTGAACTGAGAGCTGAGCCAGCTTGGCTAATGCAAAGCAAAGTGGCTTTGCAGCTAGACAGGACGACAACCACGCTCAACACGTTGCACATCCAGTACTTTACGGATGCCCAGATTACATTGCCCAGTGCCGACAGCAGCTGGGTGAGAAATAACTGGACCATCGTCTCCAGGGACAACAAAACACGAACGGAGCACACGGTTTTAGTTGGGGGGACCGTAGAACTAGAGTGCCGAGCGACCGGAGAACCAGCTCCTGCAATAGAGTGGATACTGGCCGACGGGAGCAAAGTCAGAGCTCCGTATATCAGCGAGGACGGGAGAATCATCGTGGTTAACACTGGGACGTTCACGTTACGGACAGCTGACGCTTTTGACACCGGGCTGTATCACTGCATAGGCACAAATCACAACGACGCGGACAGCCTCACGTTTAGAATTACCGTGGTCGATCCCGACGTGGAGCACAACAGTGTAAATGGAGCCCGACTTTCTACGGCTGTTGGCAGCACGCTCGACCTGCCCTGTACATCCACGGCTGTTCCAGACGCTGCCGTCAGCTGGGTGCTCCCTGAGCGTGTGGTTCTCCATCACTCCGTAAGAAACAAACACATTTTTGACAACGGTACCTTGAGAATACAAGGGGTGACGGAGCGAGACAGCGGCTACTACAGATGCGTCGCAGCCAACCAGTACGGTGTCGATCTTTTGGTTCTCCAGGTGCTTGTTGGACAGGATGAAACGTCCCCGAAGGAAAAACAGGCAGCTGTGGGAGAGTGGGAAGAGGGCGACAGCTCTGGTGAGGCAGCGCTGGCCTCTGCTACGACACAGAAACATCCTTCAGCTACTCTGGCTGCCTCAGCTGGTCAGGGATCCGCTGCCTCAGCACCCAGAAATCAGGTGGCACCGAGTGCACGTGAGAGGAGCAGCTACGGGAAGGTGACCTACAGGCACTACAGGGATAAAGCAAGCAGGCGGCTCAGAGGACACAGAAGACAGTTTGTCTCCTCAGCCAGGAGAGTCGATCCCCAGCGCTGGGCAGCCTTTTTAGAAAGAGCCAAGAGGAACTCCACGTCGATAGAAAAACGAGGAGAAGTTGCCACAAACCCACCTGTTCAAGTCCGTAAGCTCTCAGAAGCACCTGGGGATGAGGAGGAAACGTCTGGTGATCTCAGATCCCCAGAGGATGAATTCATGATACCAGTAGCAGAGACAACCACTGTACCTGCTCAGGGGAGAGCCACAGCGAGTCGGGGAGCTGCAGGGCCCGAGGTGACAGACAGCAACAATCCTGCCAGGAAAAGCCCTCTCCTGGCTGCAGAGGCAGTAACGCCGCTGCCTTCTCCTTTTCCCCAGCCTGTGTCATCTGACAGCAGAAGACCACAAACATACCAAAACCCTGCAATTACAGCCTCGTGGGAAAGCTCTGATTTAAGTCAAATACCCCCAAATGGTATAAAACAACCATCTGTATCAAACGGAGCGAGCAGAACATCCGCACTCTCCTCTGCAGGGCAAAGGCTGGCATACTCTGGGGAAAGTAATAACCAGCATTTTAAATCTGAATCTACAACAGCCACGATAGATACCACAGACACTGCTGAGTCTGTAACCTCACAACACACAGGGGACAACCTACGTGTTTTTACTGAGCCTATTGATAAGTTTTCCACCAAAACAGACCACCAGATACCTGTAGTGACAGCCAGTGAACAGAGTCCTGAATTTTATCACAATTATTTTCATGGGAATCAGAAACAAGAGCCTCCTACGCCACCGCTGACCTCAACTCCCATTGCTCATCAGCAAAGTCAGATTATTCAGGATGTTACAACTCACCCACCCCAGGCCCAGCAGCAATACGGAAGACGAAGGAAAATTTCTGGGAGGAGACGAATTGTTAGACCAGGACGTATCCCAGGTATGGGAGAGCACAGGTATGGTTCTGGGAGGCCAGGCTCTGTCAGAGGAAATACAGCTGTGGCTGCAGATCTTCAGCTGAACATGAAATACGTATCAAATGTACCGACCTTCAATAATGGAAGTGGCTCTGTCGAGCCGTTTAGCCCAGAAGCACCCCTGTCCTCCCCCTCTACCATGAATATGCCACTGGAGCACCAAGCAGAGACTCCTCAAGACACGGAGGTCCTCAGGGAAGAGGAAAATGAACCCAGTGCGAGGCAAGAAGTGGCTCTGACAGTCACACCCTTCATGGCAGAGGACACTCATGATACCACTCAAAAATTAGGGAGGAGTCCTCCATTTCAGACAACTACTGATAGAGCGCAGCCTTTCAGCATCAGGCTCCCGACAGCAGCAACGCACACAGCTCACACCGCTACGGAAATTGCCCACGTCCTAAGCACCGAGCTGCCTTCTACTCCTGAATCGGTCTCGCCCAGCGTTAAGCTCAGAACCTCACCAAAAAACTCCCAAAGCGGAAAAACAACTTGGGAACATCTCTCTGGAAGTGGCGTGCAAAAAGAGATTCTGAAGGAGCTACCGGAACAACAGAGAGACACGCTCCCAT